TCAATTGCCTGCTTTTGTTATTTATCAAGTTGGTTATTAAAATACATTTTCTTTCATTGTTGATATGGTATTTTGACCTTTTGATGTCTTTTTTGTTTTCTGTGTCATTGGGCCGCTGATTCATTGAGGTACAAATGTATACCCCACATGTCCTTTCATTCAAATAGTCCATAAATGGTATAAGCTAAAAAGAAGTTCTAATAATACATATTGGATTCATGGCAAACAGATCAGTACAAAGAAATGTGATGAAAAATTGGCAAAGCTGTGATAGAATGAGAACTTCCCATTAATATGTTATTTATTAATATTAATATGTATATTTCATAACAATTTTTTATTTCATTTTTTCATATATGTGTGTTTGTTTGATATTTTGTAATTGTTTGTTATATTTCATTGTATTTCATGAGGGCCTCAGGGAAGATTAGTTTTATAGCTAACTGTGTAACCCTCTTTAAATAAAGAATTATTATTATTATTATTATTATTAATATCTCATCACTTCCGAGTTCTCCCTGTCAAAAGGAGAAAAGAAATCCTGTGATTTTGAAGTCCTGGGATCAGCCATACACAATTTTCTTCAGCATGTTCAGTGGATGATTTCAAACTTTAGCGGTTTGAAAAATGACACTTCAACTTTAAAACGAATAAATACTAATACATCTGCATACCAAATATCAATAATGAAAGAATATTTGTAAACACGCTCACATACCCCAAGCCTTCACATTGTCACTGAGCAAACAAAATCTCACAAGATTCCTTAGTTAAAAGATCTAGACTCATAATTCCTACAAAAGTCAACTGATAAAAACTTCTAGTCATTACCTGCAAAGTTTCATAAAATTCTGTTATGTGATTTCAGAGGAATTGCGATGACAAATTGTTGCAGTAGTATATTTAGGTAAAAATTCTAAGTTCAAAGGGCATGACTCCTAGAAAAAACAATGAATCATTATTTCCTGTCAATCTGTACATTACTATAGTATGTCCTTATTATCTACAAAGTTTCATCAAATTCTGAAGTGTGGTGACAGAGGAGTTGCACTGACAAACTGTTTCAGTATTATATTATGGCCAAAATTCTAAATTCAAAGGTGTATGACTCCTAGAAAAAACATGAATCAAAATTTTCTGTCACTGTGCAAATCTGCATAGTATGTCCTAATTATCTACAAAGTTTCATGAAATTCTTTTATTTGGTTATAGAGGAGTTGAGATGATAAGATCAGGACTGATGGATTGACAAGTCATAAGCATTATACCATAGTAAAGGGTATAATAATATACTTTATCTTACAAATTATTCATAGAAAACTTATCATTGGAACAATGTTAATAGTCAAGGTCGCTGAAGCAAGACTGAACAATCAGTTTGAAACTGAAATGGTATTTCAAAAGCAAATCATACATACTAAACATAGTAAACTACTTTCTAAAAATACTTCTTCATAAACATCCATTTCAACATGATCAATGTAAAAAAATTCAAAGTCATTGGAGCACAACTGTAGAACCTGCTTTCAAGTAAAAAGTATATCAAATGCATCCAATTGATCATTGGAACTGAATAATCATTCATACTGAATATTCATTACTATTGAATAATGAAAAATTAAATGTAAAACAAACAGATCTGTATTAAATGTATTGTAATAAAATCCTTGACAGCTGTAAACTGTTTAATATTATGAACATATAAAGCTGTTGATCAAATTACAAAAAACAAACAAAACCTTTATACAAATTTAGTATGAAAATATGTCCTTCAAAGAATACCCCCACTTGCTATCAAACATTGACTAAAAATGATCAAAAATACCATGTTCAGTTGGTATCAACTTAACATCACACATGAAGTAAATGTCCGGCAGGTATGAAAATTGCCACCACTGTAAAACCCATCTTCTAGACCAAATAGCAAATCATTCCTTATTACAAAATGCTTTACTACGGCAGTATTTAAGTACCTTGACTGGCTATACCCCTCACACTGTCGGTAAGCAGAACATAAGAAATATGTAACAAAAAATTCCATGCTCAGTTGGGATCATAAAAATTCATAGAATAGTCATCAAACAGGAAGGAACTACTTGGTAGATGTGAAAATCTCTAACACAATACAACTTATCATTATAATATTCCAGACTAAATATTAAATCATTCCTTAATACAGACATTTGTAACCAAAAAAATCATAATGCAGTAGGTATACTATAAATTCAATGGATTGCCAAACAAGAAGTAACTGTCCAGCAAATCTGAAGGCAAATGTAGTATAGCACCCACTCTTTGATTGGGAGTATTATTTTTACAAGTTCTCTGTGAATACTAATGAAACTGTTTGATTCTGATATAAGTGCAAAACCAATCATTGATATTGGACAAGAAGTCACATGCATTCAGCATAATTTACAAAAATCAGTATTTTACATTAAATTGATATTTATGCTTATTCAAAATGAAAATTATATGGGAAATGGGGAACATCAATTAAAATGACCAGCAGGCAACATTAAGATATAGAATACATGTAAAGAGGGAAGTTAACGCCTTTGATCTAATGTTAAAGATGGCTAAAATTTGATCATACTTGGGTTTATGCAATAAGGAATACTATATAATTATGACAATGCAAGGGTTTTATTACAACTCAAAGACCACACATTTCATAAAATAATGTAATTTTTTAGTTAAAAATAATGTCAAATAATCTTTTCTCTGACATTTTGATAAATAACTAAGAAATGGATAAACTTCAGAACTAATTAAAAGGAGTTATTTTATCCCAGTAAAATACTCCATACCATCAATTCATTCTAGAAACCATTTAAATCCCTGTATTCCCTAGCCAAGTGGGGTTTCCCTTGCCAAAGAATTTCAAGATCATCTTTTACAATTCTTTGAAAATAGTTTTATGACACCCTCATTTTACTTAATCCTATCATTTTCCTATTTCAATGTCATCACATTACTTATCTATATTTCCCCAATCAGTGATAACTTCTGGACAGATCATGTCCGATGATAACTTATAGAAATCATCATCCTAAACCATCATTATCCCCCTTTCATAGTTATAGGCTTTTTCTTATCTACAAGAATTACTTTGAGAGGCTAAAACATATATTCATTTGAAATATTGATGATTTTTCTATTAAATACATCACAAAATTACAGAACCTTAACTCAAAAACAGTGACAAATTAACAAAGGATTATGTTACATCAAATTGATAGTAGTACTATAAAGAGACAGGATTAACAATCATCTTGAAATGAGATCTCGAATTATAATGCAACAGCTTCTAATTATCAATCTTATATGATAGCAAATTCTTCACGTAACATTTATATTGATCCGCATATAACGCTTCGAACCAAAACACATCAATGTTAGTGAAACACCATACCAAATTTCAAATGCTGATCATATTTTCAAACAGAATAAATATCAAAAAAATAAATCTCAAATTTCAAAAAAAAATTAAAGCAAAGTATACCTGATTGGGCATGTTGGGTGTTGTTTCAAATTTTTATGAAACTTTTTGTATGCATTAAGACTTCCTTGAACTGCATATTAATATAGAAGAAATGATAATATGTAGCATTTATACTTTGATTGAAACAATCAATTGAAATTTGAGATATAGATTTATAAATGAAACGTACTTAAAAAGCAGCGAAAATATGCATTTTTTCCCTTTAAATTACAATTTCTTGATGATTTGTCGACAGAATTTTTAAGCTATTAAAAATTACATATTATTGCTGTGAACAATTCTGTTTTAATGCTTTGAAAATATTAGAGGGTAAATGCTATGTATAAAATATATATTTTTTTCTATATTCAGATGCAGTATAACACATACAAATTTCATAAATATAAATCAGCATGCAGACATCTTATATGTTCAGGTATATCACATCCAATCTTTTATGGTAATATTGTATACAAAGCACAAAAATGTTGTCATTCACCTCAAAAGCTAACTAAACCTTTAAACAGACTTATTCAGAAGGTATATAGTTACGATACTGTTGTCAGGTCATTAAAGATAGCATATTTTGGAATTAATATTGATTCACTCATAGGGTCTTTGCATTGGAAATGAACACATTTATTCTAAAATGAGTTGCTGGCATGATACGGGTTATGTTCTTGTAATATATTTTATGATGGTATGATACTAAACCCCTAACGGGAGGGATTGTGCTTGACTTTCATATGATGAAGACATAATCTTTCAATCAGTTTAATTGAGGTCTGGAGCTGGCATGTCAGTAACTATTAGAAGTCCTTTGTTAATTTATGTATCTGTCATTTTGCTTAGTTTCTTCTGTTACCTATTCTGACATCGGACTCAGACTTCCTTTTAACTGAGTTTTACTGTGCCTATTGCTGTGTAATTGTTTATTCTACATTGGCTAGAGGTATAAGGGGAGGGCTGAGATCTCAAAAAACATGTTTAACCCCGCAGCATTCTTGCACCTGTCCCAAGTCAGCAGCCTCTGGCTTTTGTTAGTCTTGTATGTTTTTTAATTTTAGTTCATTTATATGCTTTGTAGTTTAGTGTGACGTCCATTTTCACTGAACTAATACATATTTTTGTTTCGGGGCCAGCTGAAACCCGCCTCCAGGTGGGGGATTTTTTTGCTGTGTTGAAGACCCATTGGTGGCCTTGGGCAGTTTTCTGCTCTTTAATCGGGTTGTTGTCTCTTTGACACATTCCCCATTTCCATTCTCAATTTTATTCCTCTAAATCTGAATTGTTGCCAATCACATATACTTTGCCTTAAGTCACCTGTGCATGACCAAGAGAATGGAGTCCATGAATTCTTTAAATTCATATCTTACTCCAATATCATAAGTACTTTTTCTGAAATGAACTTTGTCTTACAGCATTTGACATTTTGGTGATTATGATTCATACACCAACTGAACTTTATCCAAATAGCATACATCAATTTAAGACTCATTAGTATGTAAAAACCTACCAAAGCTCTGCTAGCTCTTTCATCCTCCCACTTCAGTTGGGACATCAACTCAGTCTTCGTAATAAAACCATTGGACTGTAACAGAACACAAAATTACTTTTAGTCTCAGGAAAGTAAAAAGTAATATTATGTATTTAATCAGGTTCATGCAACATGTAGGATCTAGTATACAGAGAATTCACCAGTGTGTAAAGCAGAGAAGAAAGACAATACAAATATAATTGTATTGTAGACTAGAGCCTTAAAATACCATTAAGTTAATCAAATTATGTAAACATAATACTATAACTGTTTATTACAATTGCCTTCAGAGGAGTTATCCATAGTTTTAATGCCAAATGAAAATATTAAAATATCCAAGCTAAAATATTTCTATTTTCATATTAAGAATACTGTCACATGACTGTTTGAAATAATTATTGAAAAATGTATCTTTTGTTGAAAATTATGTTGAGAAATAACTTAATCGCTGGATCTCAACAAATAAGTTTTTTTTTTACAAATAACTACATACTGACATAAGCTTATAATTGATGCAAACATTAGATAACTGTATAGTTAACTAGGAAAAAGATTCTGAAGAACTGGAAGAATTGACATAATAACGATATAAAACATCAATCACTGAATAATGAAAATGATGTAATGGAAGAGTGACTCTAAACAGTCAGGAATTTTCACATAATATCTAAAATGTAATTTACCTTTTAATTAGAACAATGAGGATCTGATCTAACTTGATATTAGCAACACAATAGAGACCATAAGTGAAACAGGATCTGCTTACCATTCTGGAAAACCTGAGACCTTTCTCAGGATCTGAGCATCACTGATGAGTCTTGTGTAGACGAAACGCGCGTCTGGCGCATTAAATTATAAGCCTGGTACCTTTGATAACTATTAGTTGGATTCGTGTTACTCAGTCTTAAGTTTTCTGTGTATTGTTTTTTATTTAGATTGCTGATCTTGTTATTGTTTTTATTTTGAACCATGGTATTGTATGTTTTTCTTCGACTTATGATATTTGATTGTCTTTTTGTTATCTTCTGCCTCTTTTAAATGTGAATCATTAAATCATGCATGAAAATTTGGTAGAAACCAAGGGACAGAGTTTGCGTATTTTGCAATTATTTATATGGATAAAATTTTGACCTACTACAGATAGTTCAGACATACTAAATCTTATGTTTCAAGTTTCTAACCTGATAAATGTGTGAATATTGGCTAGTTGGATCTTACTTGATATTCAAAATTTAAGTAATCAATATGAAGTAAATGTTTCTAAATGTATCTTCAATTTTACCATTGTAACAACACATCATACAGTATGATAGTATGGCCAAACTTGTTCACAAATTCCAGAATGTTTTGTTTTTATGCCAGGGGTTGTAACAGACAAACATGAATGTGGTTTTGAAGGTTGTCAATATATTAGAATTTTCTATGTATATGACTGGCAATGAAAAAATTAAGTTGAAAAATTTAAAAAAGAATTGGTCAGGTAACAAGAAACACATTTTCAGTTGGATTAATATTGTACCCCTACTCCTAAAAATCGAGTGTAAAACTAAGAAGCAAAATAACAAAAAAGTGACAAAAATATGTATATGGATAGATGTTAAATTTCCACCAGCCAACATCCATATTCAAGACAAGAACATACTCTTTTCTCATCATATCATACAATAAAATGCTCTACAGGGCGCAGCTTGATACAACCGCAGAGGTCGAACCCTGAACAGTTGGGGCAAGTATGGACACAACATTCAAGCTTGATACAGCTCTGAATTTGGATTGTGATCAAATATTTGACACAGCATAGGTTTCTGACACAGAATGAATGTGGTCTAAGAACTTAAAAAATTTAAATTGGACATTCACCTATTATGGTCCAATATCCAAAATCTAAATACATGGTTAGATTCAGCATATCAAAGAACCCCAAGAATTCAATTTTTGATGAAATCAAACAAAGTTTAATTTTGGACCCTTTTGACCTCAATGTGGACAAAGTTGATAACAGGGCCCAAAAATCAAAAATCTAAATACATGGTTAGATTCAGCATATCAAAGAACCCCATATATTCAATTTTTGTTGAAATCAAACAAAGTTTAATTTTGGACCCCGATTTGGACCAACTTGAAAACTGGGCCCATAATCAAAAATCTAAATACATGTTTAGATTCAGCATATCAAAGAACCCTAAGAATTCAATTTTTGTTAAAATCAAACTAAGTTTAATTTTGGACCCTTTGGACCTTAATGTAGACCAATTTGAAAACGGAACCAAAAATTAAGAATCTAAATACACTGTTAGATTCGGCATATCAAAGAACCCCAATAATTCAATTTTTGATGAAATCAAACAAAGTTTAATTTTGGACCCTTTGGACCTTAATGTAGACCAATTTGAAAACGAAACCAAAAATTAAGAATCTAAATACACGGTTAGATTCGGCATATCAAAGAACCCCAATAATTCAATTTTTGATGAAATCAAACAAAGTTTAATTTTGGACCCTTTGGACCTCAATGTGGACCAATTTAAAAACGGGGCCCAAAATCCAAAAACTTAATACACGGTTAGATTCAGCATATTAAAGAACCCAGAGAATTCAAGAATAAAACCCCATTGAAATTGGTCAAGAAATAAGCAATTTATACGAAGTATCTTCTTTTGCACAATACTGTGCAATTGAATATTTCTTGCTATTGTGCAATACTGTACAATTGACAATTTCTTGCTATTGCGCAATATTGTGCTATTGGATATTTCTTGCTATTGCGCAATACTGTGCAATTGAAGATTTCTTGTTATTGTGCAATACTGTGCAATTGAAGATTTCTTGCTATTGTGCAATACTGTGCAATTGAAAATTTCTTGCTATTGCACAATACTTATTATATAATAAGTTACACATCCTATTTGGTGTGTATCTCCTACCATATCATTATTATTTGCTTTTAAATATAAATCAGAAATAACCAACTTAAAATGGAAAATTTTAAAAGAAAAAAAAAGGAAAAAAAGAAAAAAAAGGAAGAAAAAAAAACCCCCCTCCCCCCAAATTTTATGAACCCCCTTATGATTCATCACCCCCAAACTCAATCCCAGCCTTCCCTTTGTGGTATGGTACCTTGCAGTACAATTTCAGAGAGATCCATACATTTGAACACAAGTTATTGTCTGGAAACTAGAAAAATGCTTATTTTTGGCCCCTTTTTGGCCCCTTATTCCTAAACTTTTTAGGCAATTACCCCCAAACTCAATTCCAGCTTTCCCTTTGTGATATGGAACCTTGTAGTACAATTTCATAAAGATCCATACACTAACACACAAGTTATTGTCATGAAACTAGAAAAATGCTTGTTTTTTGCCCCTTTTTGGCCCCTAATTCCTAAAATTTGGAGGCAATTACCCCCAAAATCAATCCCAGCACTCCCTTTGTGATATGGAACCTTGTGGTACAATGTCAGAGAGATCCATACACTTACACACAAGTTATGTCTGGAAGTTACAAAAATGCTTATTTTTTGCCCCTTTTTGGCCCCTAATTCCTTCACTGTGGGTACCATAACCCCCAAAATCAATCCCCACCTTCCTTTTGTGGTATTGAACCTTTTGGTAAAATTTCATAGAGATCCATTCACTTAAACTAAAGTTAGAGTGCGAAAACTAATGTGTCTTCGGACGACGACAACAATGACATCGACGACGACGCCAACGTCATACCAATATACGACCACAAAATTTTTTTGCGGTCGTATAAAAATAAACAACCATAACTCATTTACATCTCAATATAACTTACAATCGACTAAAATTGAAAGATTTTTTAAGAAAAGGACTGACATATCTTAATTCATGAACCCTGTTTTGTTCTATTTAATGCATTTACTTCTCAATTATGTCAAAATTAGTATTTAATCAAACAGAACTTTCATCCCAGACAGAAAAAAGAACACACTGGGACATACATTTTTTGACAGCTTCAGGGTAACATTAGATAACTGTCAATAACCCTAAAAGTTTTATATCACACAGAACTTTTCATTTAACAGGTTAGGTTTACAGGTTCAAATACAAATGCATAATATGTTCATAAAAGATCCAGTCAATCAAACACAAAGATATGTTGTGATTATAAAAGAACCAGACAGTCAAATACAAAGTTTTAATGTTTATAAAAGAACCAGACAGTCAAATATAAAGTTTTAATGTTTATAAAAGAACCAGACAGTCAAATACAAAGTTTTAATGTTTATAAAAGATCCAGATAGTAAAAAACAAAGTTTTAATGTTTATAAAAGATCCAGATAGTCAAAAACAAAGTTTTAATGTTTATAAAAGATCCAGATAGTCAAAAACAAAGTTTTAATGATTATAAAAGATCCAGATAGTCAAAAACAAAGTTTTAATGTTTATAAAAGATCCAGATAGTCAAACACAAAGTTTTAATGTTTATAAAAGATCCAGATAGTCAAACACAAAGTTTTAATGTTTATAAAAGAACCAGACAGTCAAATACAAAGTTTTAATGTTTATAAAAGAACCAGACAGTCAAATACAAAGTTTTAATGTTTATAAAAGAACCAGACAGTCAAATACAAAGTTTTAATGTTTATAAAAGATCCAGATAGTCAAAAACAAAGTTTTAATGTTTATAAAAGAACCAGACAGTCAAATACAAAGTTTTAATGTTTATAAAAGAACCAGACAGTCAAATATAAAGTTTTAATGTTTATAAAAGAACCAGACAGTCAAATACAAAGTTTTAATGTTTATAAAAGATCCAGATAGTCAAAAACAAAGTTTTAATGTTTATAAAAGATCCAGATAGTCAAAAACAAAGTTTTAATGTTTATAAAAGATCCAGATAGTCAAAAACAAAGTTTTAATGTTTATAAAAGAACCAGACAGTCAAATACAAAGTTTTAATGTTTATAAAAGAACCAGACAGTCAAATACAAAGTTTTAATGTTTATAAAAGATCCAGATAGTCAAAAACAAAGATTCAATGAAATTATAAATGATCAAAACATTCAAATACAAAATATAATGAATTTATCAAAGAACCAGTCAAATACAAAGATGTTTACTATTCATTCTGTGTATTTTTTTGTTCAAACATGTCATAAATAAGGTAATACAAACACGTTTCAAAAACAACACTCCTATCTCAGTGTTAATTTATATAACCTTTCATAATTATTATACTTTAGAACTTTTGTCTGCTTTTTCTCTTCAAATTACTGAGAAAATTTTACAGTACAATGTTTGCATATTTATGAAGATTGATTTTAATGAAGTTATACTTTGTCAAATGTTTGTAACCCCAATGGAACTATGTTTAAAGATACTTATCGGATGAAATTTTTTTTTACAAATGAAAGTCCCTGATGAACAAATATTATTCATGTTTTGAATTAAAGTACATGAAATTGAATAAATGATGACCTTGCTATCGTCATTGCATTAATTCATACCAAATAGAATATTTTGAATCTTAACAATCAAACTACTGTGAGTGAGTGTCTAAAACTGTAATACAAACATAAGTGAATTATAAATTAGAAAGCCCTTTATTTGAAAAATCAAAATAAGCTACAAAGAGAAACTAAAAACCTTCTTCCAAAAATTTCCTCATTTGATAGTACATGATTGATCAAGAAAATTCCAGGGCTTATAATATTTAATTATCCCATTTCAAAACAGAAGGATGAATATATTTTCAGCACAATTTCATGGCAGTCAGTTTTTATGATATCCAAAATGTGACAAAATTTTATTTATATGCATGATGGATGATGAATTGGGCATTAAATGTCCTGTGGCAAATATTACATACATATAAGGACAAGAACATGTTGATGTGATATGGATATGAACTGTTTTCTACTAAACAGATAAGCTCAGCCAGATTTTTCAATGATGTTGTTCACAAGGTAACAGGAAGATACTTCACTCTACCCTGGCACATTATTCTGACTCTGAGCCAACCAGTCTTGCTCTTACTCCTTAATTACATATTTTTAGCAGAAAAGCAGCAAATACTAATTTTCAAGTCATTGGGGTTACTTGGCTGATGATTGAACCCTTATCCTCCATCACTCAAAGAGAGTATGCTACTAAGAGACCACTAATGTCATTTTCATGTTATGGTGTTTGAAAGATTTCAGCCAACAAAAAGTAAACCATTGAAAGAGATGAAAACATGTCATACCCTATGGCATAACCAGATAAAGCTTGGGGCCAAAACAGAACCTTTGACATTTATAGTTGCTGAGGAGAATGTGACATAAATACATTATAGACAGACAGAAAAGGGATGGACAGAGGTTAAACAGTATATTCCCTCCTATGAAGTAGGGGCATTATAACCAGTCCATGAGAACCTTACCTCTGCTTGTTGTAAAACTGATGTATGATCCATGCTTAGTTCTCCTGGAATACTTTGTACTAGGTAGGTTGTACCTATTGGTAATACAGTGAACCCATTTCCTAAAACTTTCAGTTTCTTTATTGCTCTCAGTAAATCATCTCTAAAACCAGCATTATAAATATATTAACAAGATAAGTATTGAGTCTGTGTTTTATTTTTATTTTAAAGAATTTCACTCCAAAGTCTTGAAGAACTTGCAAACTGGAACAGTGATGGTTTAAATCTTAACATACTGGCATAATCTAGTTTGTTTTACCATAGTCTTGCATGTCTTGTCGACAGATTATATATATATCTCAGTATTTCTAAACAAAGGATATTTCATACTTATTTTTCATTATATATACACATCACATGCCTCCAAAATAATCTTCAATGCAAAAGCTTGAGAAAATATCATGTCCGTATTGGCTATTGGGCAAATGTTAAACTCATAGACTGACAGTCCACCATCAGTAGTACCATTCAAGTGTAGTAATACTAATATATGATAAAGATATCAGAGTGCAAACAACCTTTCAATTGTGTCATTACTTATTTACTCAATTATATCCGACAAACTAGTATAAAAGTTTTGTATTCAACATATGCACTGCTCTGACAGGCAAAGGGGAATAATTCAATGGATTTTTTCCCACTTACACAGATATGTCTTGACTTTTCTTTCCTCTGGAGGCTAACAATCTACTCCTTAATTCTTCTATATCTATTAATCCTACAAAAGCATTGACAAGTGATGTAAAAGACAAGATAGTCTATTGCAGAAACATCATTCTTCACTAACACAAGTAAGATGTAAGAAATGTAACATTTCATGTAGTGTTAAAATAATAAGTACTGTAAGCCAAGTGAATTTGTGTACTTGGTTATACTTTGCTTAATCATCAGGAAAGTACAAATGTATGTCATTAGAAACCAAAATAAGAAGATAGATTGTTTTTTGCTTATAAAGGTCCAGTTTCAAATATTTCATGCATGTTCAGGACAATAATAAGAACACTACAATTGTATGTGACAAAAATTTATCATTTTATTTTTATGAAATTTCTAAGTGTTTCTTTGGCAATGCAAATCTATGCATATATTCTTTCAGATATATTCTGCTCCATTATCAAGGGAAGAAACTCATCAGATACAATATAAAAAAAAATTTGTAAGGGGTCCCTGTATCTCACCTGCAATTGCTACTGTCAGTGTAAAAGTGTATTTTTTACTAGTCCATTTATCAGTAAAATACAGGATTTAAAAAAAATCAAACTTTTTCTTTAGATGCTATTTCTTGGTCTTAAAGATAAGCTTCTGTCCAAGTTTCATAACAATCCATGAGGGTTTACAAATTTATCATGTCAAAAAATTTAATTCCAGACTGTCTGTATTAAAATGTTAACTGTAAAAAATGAAGAACATCTATCAGAAAAATACTAAAAATGAAAAAAATATATTTTCAAAGGTTTGCTTCAGATCAACATTATCTCTAAATCATAAAAAAGCTTAGCCAAAGTTTCATAAAACTCTATGAGGGTTTGACAAAGTAACTGATGTGTAACAAACTTGAACCCAACACTATATCTACTTGTTAACTGTAAAAATACTAAGTCCATTTATCAGTAAAATACAGAAAAATGAAAATAAATATTATCAAAGTTTTGCTCTGGATTCTATATTTTGGTCATAAACAAGCGTTGTCCAAATTTCATAAATTTTTATGAAGGTTTTACAAAGTTATTGATGTCTAAAAGAAGATTTTAACCTCATACTAAATCTGAATGTCAACTGTAATAAAATTAAGTCTACTTATCATTTAAATAAGGAAAAATGAAAATAAATATTTTCTAAATTTCGCTCTTGATACTGTCTTTCATCATAAACAGGGTTCTGTCCAAACATAAAATTCCATGTAGGTTTGACAAAAGTTATTAATGTATAAAAAAACTTTACCCACAGACTGAACCTAAACGTAGAGGTTCACTATGTTTCGCTTTCCCGAAATAAATTTTGCAGACGCGACAAAAACACTGATAACAGTTTCATTAAAGTTACTGCTGAACTTTGTATGGACTAACATTAGTAATAAAGGTATATTTCCCTTAGCCTATACATGTAGGAGGAACTCCCAATGCAAAACTGTTGAAATTTAGATGTTGAATTTGTTTAGCTTGTCATATCTAACTGTGCCTGTTCAAAAACCTAAACATAGCAATCAATTGGTCCTGAACAGGATTTATTTACATTTTTTTCTGAACTATATTTTCCATTACATTTTTAGCAACTAATTCTGCCATGTTTGACATCAGTTAGGTCAGCAACAAATACAATTAAAGCATATCATAAAAGAATCAGCTGCAAAAAATTGGCTGCAATAGTTTTTTCCATAGTTTTGTACTGACTATTGGCCCCAATTTTCAATATTAGTACCATATTTGTTGTTGATTTGGGATCTTAAGACAATAGTTCTTAAACTAAAGAACATCATACATATGTTTTCTAAATGAAATCATTCATCCAAAGTTCAGTACTAATTGATCCTTCCAAAAAAAATTCTGAATTTTTTTTATTCTTGATCTAGGTGACAGCAATGTTTTATAGCAATAAGTGTTCCCAGTCATATTTAAAAACTTCATATTATCATCATTTATCAAGTTTATCCAAAGTATGCAATCATTTTGCAATAAGATAAGAGATATTCAAATTTTGCTGTGAAAATGGGTTTGTATTTGATAGAGGTTCGAAAATCAACAGGTTAAAATGAGGGTTTTTTTTATTAAAGAGGATCATTCTTCCCATTTTTACACAAAATGTCTATTTCCAATGCAAAATTCTTTGAAAGAATAGAAAATGAACTTTTGAATTAATAACTAACCTCCATTTCTGTGGCTTGTTGCTATACAAACTTCTATAACTTGTACTCCTAATTCATAGTAAAAGTCACCTACACCAAGCATCTCTGCCCAGAAACCTTTACTTGCTGAAATGTTTTAGTTCTTTACATTATATACATATACTTTATTCCAGTTTTTTTTTCCTGTTGATATAATGTATCTGCAATGGTATGGCTTAATGTGCATGATGTGTAAAGTGAATTGGATTCAGTTTTTGTTAATTTTTTATATTGTTTCATTATCTCTCTACTTATATTATGTTAAAATATGTCTGGCATTAGAATATTGCAATTTTTACCACTTTACAATAAAACATCATTACCAGTAATAAAAATAACAAGTTCATAAGGACAGAAGTAGATTTTTATTCATTTTATTAGATTTAAATTTCAATGGTGTATTTTCAAAAAGTATTCTCAACAAAAAAATCTTTCCTTATTCCTGGCCTGTTATAAGCAACGACTTAGTCAATTGGTAACTTATATATAAAAAAAGTAAAACAAACAGATGCATACTATGTTTGCAACCAGTCATAAATGTATACATATTTGCACTTATGGCTGAATCCTTACTTAAAAGCATTTAATCAAAGAAGAGTACTATGCAACAGATCTGAAAATTGCTAATCTAGATGAAGCCTAGTATTTTTAAATATCAAGAATCTGTTATTTGTAAATGTTGAGAAAAATTGCCAACAGCATAACACACAAAGGAAATACTAGTAAATGTACTTGGCCCAAGAACACAGTTATTTCGTAGTGCATTTCTTTTTGACAATAAATTCAAATTAAAAAAATCGCACCTCCTCTATCTCAAAAAGATTTTTACAGTGTAGTGTACTACTATTGATACAAATAATATCAAAATTATAGAAACTTCTACCAGCTCTAACTCAAAATATTGACAATTCTGTGTTAAGGGGGGCTAAAATTCAGTTTGACAGTTTCAGACATTCTAATTTTTGACCTTTTTTAACTGGACCAAATCACTACTTAACATAAAGATTCAGCACCCAAATTTTTTTAACATGTAATTTCATCCCCTTACTTAATATTTCATGCATAAAATATCAAGAAGTAAATTGGAAAAGTGTGTAAAAAAAAATGCAAGTTATACACTGTTCACACTAGGGACTATATTCGTAGACAACGAAAACCTAAGGACGATAACTGTGACCTTGGACCACTTGGACCAAACAGGAAAGAGATAGGCATAAACAAGATGGACTGTGATCTATTGCTCACTAATGATAACCCAGCTGTAAGTTTTTAGTAAACAGAAAGATCAAGAACAATGGCTGTGAAAAGGCATAGCATGTTCTCATGAGGCTTGATACCAAATTTCAAAAAGCTCTGATTTGCAGTTGCTAAAAAATCTGAAAGAAAAAATCCATATATGACAACTATATATAACAATTATTTGGTCAACAAAAATTTGTTCAGTAATTGGATGTCAAAACCATCCAACTGGTATTGCATGCTCATATTAAGGTTGATAAATAATTTCATACATGGCCATTTTGTGTGAGAATAAATTAGTATTCGGTCAAAAGGAAGTTGATATGCAATGGATGTTAATACACATCACTTGGTATAGCATGCTCACATGAAGCTTCATACTAAATGTCAGAAAATTCTTATTTGTAGTTCCTGAAAAGAAAATTTTATGGGACGGAGAGACATAAACAAGAAAACCAGTATACACATTATTCAGAGTTGGAGTATACATATATATATGAAAAGGAACCATATGATATAGTAAGATGGAAATTTAATATCAAGATGCTATCATTTGTGACTAACAATAAAAATACAGCAGAAAACTGTGATGAACAAAGAGAACTAGAGGCTCTCAAGAGCCTGTGTCGCTCATCTGTATTTACTGATGCTTTGGAAATCATGTAAAATAAGGTTAAAATCATAATTAATAGTATTAGATATTAGATATTATAATGATATCTAAGATAATAACAAAAAACTGCAAAATTTTTGTAAAATTACTAACTCAGGGGCAGCAACCCAACAACGGGTTGTTGGATTCGTCTGAAAATTCCAGGGCAGATAAATCTAAATCTGATGAACATTTTTGCCACCTGTCAGATTTGCTCTATATGCTATAGTTTCAGAGATATAAACCAAAAACTGCATTTTACTCCTATGTTCTATTTTTACCCAAGTCGGCCATGATGGTTGAAAGGCGGGGTCATCGGACAAAATTTTTAAACTAGATACCCTAATAATGATTATGGCCAAGTATGGTTAAATTTGTCTCAGTAGTTTCAGAAGAGAAGATTTTTGTAAAAGATTACAAAAATTTACAAAAAATTGTTAAAAATTGACTATTAAGGGCAATAACTCCTAAATGGGTCGACTGACAATTTTGGTCATGACAACTTATTTGTAGATCTTACTTTGCTGAACATTATTGCTGTTTACAGTTTATCTCTATCTATAATAATATTCAAGATAATAACCAAAAACTGCAAAATTACCCTATATTATATTTTTAGCCATGGCGGCCATCTTGGTTGGTTGTCGGGATCATCGGACACATTTTTTAAACTAGATACCCTAATGACGATTGTGGCCAAGTTTGGTTAAATTTGGCCCAGTGGTTTCAGAGGAGAAGATTTTTGTAAAAAGCTAACGACGACGGACGCCAAGTGATGAGAAAAGCTCACTTGGCCCTGCGGGCCAGGTGAGCTAAAAAAGAACTCAGCTATACTAAAAGTAGGTGTGTGACTGACCTACAGTATGCTTAACCTATAAATAAAGCATTTATAGGGACTGAGAAGAATTTAATGGTGGGTATAACTTTTATACATACAAGCTAAAGGGTCTACTCCTATTGTGGAACACATCTCCTGGAAAGCTACTCTGAATTCAGGATCTTTTTTAATCTGATCTTTGTGCTTAGATGCAAAGTCTTCTAAATACCCCTTAAAGGCCTCCATTTGTTTTGCCATCTTAAAAGGAAAAACAATTTAATAAAATTATCTATGTATTTGCATCTTATGATCAACTATAATCTTCAATAATAAACAGGTGTCTATACAATAACATTATATGTCCCTCAAGCTTTTTGTATATCCTTAATAACTGTCTGTTTTATTCACAAATTTTCTAGACATGGCAATTTTCTATTAGTGAAGACTGTAGGCTAAACCCCTAAAATTAAATGTCTTTTTGGTGGGTTTTTTTTGGCACTGTTAGGTTACTCTCTTATTGACATGTACCCCAATATTCCATATATTAATATGTCTTCCAGTCTGTTCTAAGAAAAAAATATGACAAAAAATTGAACAATTTTTCAATCTCAGATATGCATGGTAATTGCAGTGAAAACAGTGCTGTTGCAACAATGTGTAAGGTCACAATTTAGTAAGTTACATTTCCTGCAAAATAATTATGTATTTCATCAAATCGCTTTCAATTTCATATAGACATATAGCTAAGGATATTTTTTTTAATAATTATCTCCCCTAGACCTGGTGGTTTTTGCATGTATTCCAGTCATCACAATCTAATTGTCTTTCTTTGTATAAAGTCAGTATGTAAGAGAACCTTTTGTTATAAAAACAGCACTGAATTTAAATCAATGATTTGCAAATAGTACAGAACATAGAAGATTTAGTGTTCTACCCTTTTTTATAGAGCTGCGTTAAATTCACAATATTGGACTTATTTGTCTTTTGTAATGTGACCTGATGCTACATTGTGTATGTCTGTATGTTGTAAATACTAAGATAGACTTAACTAACTGTGTTTATAAACATATATATTAATTGTTTGACTTTGAGTATTAAGTTGCTATGAAGGACACCCCAATTGGTTGACATACACATTAATAAAAATGAAATCAGTTACATTTAAATTAGACATTTTTTTTGTAGGAATGAATTTTCATGGATTGAAGAAAAAGAGTATTTCCATGGATACTTGATTTAGTTGTTTTGATTTCTGCTTACAGGCTATAGGAAACATGTACTTTGTCAAATACTTTAATATGTAGTTTTCCTATGATTTTATGGAAAACTATACATGTATAGTATTTTTCAAATATGATGACATGAAATTATTAAAATTAAAACATACAAACTTCTATAATGGAATGGACACGTTTGAGAGTGTTACATTTAGATAGAGATACGTCTACTCTTATGAGAAAAGAAATTTTACTCCTTAAAATAAATTGAATAAATTGCTTCGCCGAGCACAGCTAGATACGACCGCAGAGGTCCTACTCTGAACAGTTTGGGCAAAAATGGACACAATATTCGCACTTGATACAGGTCTGAATTTGGATTGTAATTAAATATTTGACACATAATAGGTTTCTGACACAGAATAACTGTAGTCAAAGAACTTAGAATTGGTTATCTGATTTGAATTTATATTCAATTTTTTGCTTATGTGCAATACACTTTGCCTATGCGAATTGACCCCCCCCCCCCCCCACCCCTTTTTTTTGAAAAAAAAAAATATATTTTCTGAAATGAGAAAAAATTGTCCCCCTCTCACAATTTCTTTTTTACCCCCCCCCCCCCCCCCCCCCCCCCCCCAATTTTTTTCCCACCTCCCCCCCTTTTTCCAAAAAAAAAAATTCTTTCCCTCAAGATATGCCATCATATGGTCATAATCTCAATTCACATAATCATGGCTAAAATTAATAGTCCTTAATCAGCATTTTCAAATAGTAACTTCTAAAAATAAATTGACAGCTAATCACCTCAAGACAATACAACATTCTTTATACATAATTTAAAAGCAGTGTAAGGGAGGTTATCGAAAGATAACATTGTACTTTTTTTTAATTGTTCATTAACCAGGAAACCCTTGTTTTTCCCCTAATTCCTAAACGGTTTGAGCCATAACCACCAAAAGCCAATCCTAACCATCCCTTTGTGGTATGGAAACTTGTGGTATAATTTCAGAGAGATCCATACACCGCTCCACAAGTTATTGTCTGGAAACTAGAAAAATGCTTATTTGGGCCCCTTTTTGGCCCCTAATTCCTAAACTGTTAGGACTATAACCCCCAAAATCAATCCAAACCTTCCTTTTGTGGTTATAAACCTTGTGTTTAAATTTCATAGATTTCTATTTACATTTACTAAAGTTATTGTCTGGAAACCAAATGTCTTCGGACGAGGCTGACGACGATGACGTGATACCAATATACGACGGCAAAATTTGTTGCGGTCATATAAAAAGTATTACTCCTTTTATTATGAATATTGCTATTCTTTTAATATATATCTTAAATAAATGAACACATATCTGTATATACATTCTATTATATCACTGTATACAGTTCAAAATATTTTGTGTTAAATTTTTTTCTATCAGACATGCAAGGTGGAGACTGTGATAACTTTAAACTGTAAGGATGTTCCAGAATAACTCAAATGTATCCTGCTTGAAATTGTCTTCCCTAATTTTTCTACACTTTCTGTTTACAACGTGGCTTTTAATCTTGCATCATTAATAGTCTACTGTGAAAGTACTTTTATTCGTGGGCATCAATTTTTGTGGTTTGAGAAAAGTTACATGTTCGTGGGGTCTTAAATTCATGGATTTTAGTTTCTGAAGAAAAAAAAATCCAGTGAAGAATAAATTATTTGAAGCCATCACAAACGAAGTGTTTTGAAAAATTTTTATGTTGTTTTATAATGATTAGTGGGAGTGTGCAAAATAAGGTGTTCATTTTTAATTACTTGTTCGTCTTTCAAATACTGACAACATTCATCAAATTTTTAATAAAATAATTGCTTTCGGAAATAAGCTGATTCATCTATGCTTACAAATTGTCTTGATTGCAAAGTAAGCATTTTAATTGTTGGCTTGTTGCACATGTGTAATCAGAAGTGATTACACTAATTAATCCGAGATCGAATGATCAACAGATTAACGACCATCAAAGGTGTTAATTGGGCCATAAACATGTCACTTAAAGAAAACAGTTACATGTACATATAAAAATGCTACAAATGTACTTTGAAATGTAGAATTAATTCTTGTGAAATAAAAAAGCAAGCCCATAAAGAATTTTATTTTTCGTACGAAAATTAAGAGGGGATAAAATGAACATGTCATCATCACATGTCATCACCGGAAGTCTGACTTTCTTAGTTTTATATGAAAATTAAAAGGTTAAAAGTCGTACAGTGTAATTCTTTTAAATTAAATTAGTAAAATCTGTCTGATGTACTTGTATATATAGTTCATAGTGCGTTTACTGATATTCGGTGTATTCTCTAGATGTCTTAATTACAATTGATCTTTGTTAAGCTAAAATTTTGATACAAATTCTTGTTTTTCATTAAAAATTAGTCTTGTCATTTACTAGCTTGTAATAACACATTTGAATTTCATCTCTCAAACACTGCAGCACAGATCAAACAGTTTTACTAAAAAAAACTATATGATAGTGAGTGAATGATAAGAGCTTCAAAAGAGCCATGCAAAACTTCAATTATGAATGGTAAAAATTGTTAAAATGTTTCAAAAGCTTCAGAATGATTTTCTGAGGAATTTCTGTTGGTAATAAATGAACAGACTTCCCTAGAAAGTTTTAAAACTTGAAAGAATGATCAACTGTTGCAATTCAGTCAAATAACTCTGTCATAGAATGTGATACATTTTGTAACTCTGGAAATCACACTTAAATAGCCATGGAAATACTGAGATTATGACTGTAGACATGTCTATAATACAGTCATAGGTATAACAAGAATTTTTGTTTACCTGACTTAATTGGTCTGCAGCTATTTCTGTTCCTTTGTCTTTATACTTAGCCTACAACAGAAATTCAACTACATAATCACTAAATGTTGCAATTGATGCATATTAAAACATTCTACATGCATATGAATGAAGTAAAGAATTGGCACACTATATTAAAATGTCTTCACAAGAGTTTCAATTATATATCATAAAAGAGATTTATCATTTGCTGAATACTTATATACATATCTGATTACCAAAAAGGCCAATTCCAATAAAATGAAAATCTGTAACATCTTGTCCTAACTTTATATGTACTCGTTACCAGATAATTGATGTAGAGAAACCAGTTTGAAAATTAGATTTGTAAAGCCAAAGCTCTTACTGTTGTTTTTTTTTGGTACTTCCAGTATGTTTGCATTTCGAACATACAGCCCATGTAGATTTTTAGAGGTTGTTTAAGCTTAAAATCGCACACAAATTGTTAAATCAAGTAATAATGCAAATTTTAATTGGTCAAGATTGCTCTGACTTTAGAGTGCCGTACAAACAAATGTTCTTGCCAGTTGCACACTCTAAAATATTAGAACAATATTTCAAAGAACTTCAGGATGAGGAAAATCTTATTAAAAAGCCAGTCATCTGGGTCATATGCATAAAAAATTCTTCAACAATCATGACAATTCTATGCAAACATGGCAAACAAAATGAACACACCAATTACTGCATTGTTTTGAAGCACACCTTCTGTGTTGCTTATATTATCATACAGTTTGTAGATCATGGAGCAAACGCCAACTACTGTCTCAAGGTGATTATATGTATTTATAAGGCCATGCAAAAGAGATTGTTGGTTTACCTTAACCCTGTCGGGTCTGTTTTTTACACTCCAGGTCAATCTTTTTTTTTTAAACAGATAAAAATTCTCTTTAGCATGTTTAGAGAAAATTATCAATGATGTTTTAATTGTCTGATCATTTCTTTAAAAAGGTTGTTTCATTTATCATTCTTAAAATCTAAAATAGCTTATATCACAATATAGATCAAGATGTAAGGCCAAAAAAAAAGTGTTGTTGGTCATACAAGCAACCCTAATTTACAAATGTATAGGCTATGACCCTAACTTTTTGAAAAAAAAATACTTAATAAAAATCTGTAATTTTCAGGTGTGATCAGAAAAACAGCTATATCTAAGCTTATCCAAAAATCATTGAGATCAAAACTAGCTCTTCCTTTAGCATAACCCCAAATTGTCCAAGTTTATTTAGTGCTATTACAGGAGTTTTTGTGACCATGAATAATAATAAGCAAATGACCAGATATATAACTTATGTGCTCATAGTTCAGTTTAAGAAATGCAAACATAAACCTGATATACAAATGTTCATGCCAGTTTTGCAAAAAAGTAAAGTAAAACAATATAAAAAGTGTCCCTACAGACCATTTAGAAATTTTCCTGTATTAGGGAAAACCAACATTTAATATTCAAAGGCCTTACCAGTATTTGATTTTACAGGTGGTCTGTCATTGGTATGTATCATGGTGCTCCCACTGTAGGAGGACCATATGTTTGAGTTCGATTGAAATATTGAAATCCTTAGTATTTTAGGAGAGATTGAACTTAGTGGTACTAGTTTTTTTTTTAGTCTGGACAAGCAGGGGCGGATCCAACCATTTATAAAAGGGGGGTTCCTAACCGAGGATAAAGGGGGGTTCCAACTATATGTCCCCATTCAAATAGTTTAAACATATTTTATTGTTCAAAAATGACAAATGGATTAGACACAAGTTTTTCAACTTAGTAACGTCTTCTCCATTTTAACCATTTTAACCCCATTCAAATGCATTGATCGTCAAAAAAAAGGGGGGTTCCAACCCCCAGAACCCCCCTGGATCCGCCACTGACAAGTCATGTCAAGTGTAATGGAAATCTGAGTGGAATGGGTAGGAAGTGAATTTGTCTATATTTAATTCTTCCTCAATTGAGGGATTGTTTCCTTCTTGGGGAATTGTGTGATCAACCTGTAACTTGTCAGAAGGATTGACAAATATCATATGGCCGTATTTACACCTCAACCAACATGTCAAAAATGTACAAACAAACCTGTGCATCTGGAGAAGTTTTACAATATTCTATATGACAGTCTACACTTCGGTTACCTGTGCTAACGTCTTTTTATTAATTGCTCCTATTCCATGGCCTCTTCGATGCATTATGGAGATGGAATGAAACCAAACTGCTAAGTATTTAAGTAATATTTTCACAGAATTATCAATTTTACTTTTTCTTCGATGTTATTGCGTAGCTTGTATCTTAAGTCTAAATTAACATTCCTTTAAAGCGTTCTGCCGACAACAACTACCGAAAGGTAAAGTATAAAACGAAAACGGAATTATTTTCTCCAGTTTTATTGCCGCAACATATACGCGTACATGAAATATGATGCACTTTTTAAAACCAGAGACATATAATAAAACCAATCGACTGGTGATTTGACAGCATCTGAACTGACGACACAAAAAACCAGCCTTTTAGACATTTACAGGTCAATATATTATCCGAACGACAAGAACACTAGGATATGACAAAGGACGACCACTGACGAGGAGGTTCTTGGACTATCACATTCCACAGGCACTTGTCTCAGAAAAAAAAATTTAAGTTAACATCCTGGATTTTCACCCTTTTCAAACTACACCTGTGGACTAACAATACTGGGATAGATAAAGGAACAGTACCGTATGCTATATTGTTATTTCCAATTGGGAACGTGGCAGAATTTTTTGATAATGCACTTATATCTGTCAGAGAAGTACATGTATGGTATTTTAGGTCTGTACCTTTGTATCATATGTTGTGATATGTTTAACATGTAAAGAGTTCTAATAAGTTTTCTGTCTTCTGTTACATGTATAAGATCGATCTGACTATTCCTGGTCAGACCAATCTGGGACATAGTTAGTATAATAGTCCGAGCCAGGACCAATACATAAAGAAACCACCTGTTTAATGTGTTCAACGTTTGGGACTTATGTGTTAAAAAGGAGGCTTAAGGTAGATGGGGTGTCTAAATTATAATCCATAGAATTTTTTAATAATTTGCCAAAATGTAGTTTATATCAAGCTTTTTAAAAAAAAATGATAAAAAGAATGGGTGACGGGGCTTATTTTCACGCTACAGCTTGTTCAAAATTAACAGATTTTGTATAGATTATGCATGGAAAACCCAATTTTCTGCCATAAAACGAAAACTACACTTTAGAATTTTGAGATAAAATATGAGAAGATAGCTTTAATATTATGCTTTCAGATAAGAAAAAGAAAAAATGGGGTCACCGGACTCGTTTTCTTGCTACATAATAAAATAGGTAAATTCCTAACACATTCTATTGTAAAAGTACCTTTATCTGAATTATCTGCCCTTACATTTGAGTTGCCTCCCCTTATGTGGCAAAGTTGGGAAAAATTGAATCAAACAAAAGTTTTCTGTTTTTTGTAAAATACAACCATAAATATGATAAAACATGTCATTTTCTATATTGAAATGAAAATTCTTACACATGAATTACCTACTACTCTCAAAATTTGCATATTCTATTAAAGATCTAGACCGATTGTTTTCAGGTATTACAAAATCCAAGATGGAGGAAGACACCCTATCTACCTTAAAGTATCGATTTTCCACACGAAAACATTGTTGGGACATTACAAAAATTTAAGTATCGTCGTACCTTTTTTTCAAAGTCAAAAAACCTATTACGTAGATCAAAGATTTGTATAGTGTACTTAATCCTTGCGAAGCTTTTAAAAGTCGAAATTATCGTACACAAAACTACCGGTTTCAATAGAATTTTGCGATGAGCCAAACTTCAAGAAACCTATTAGCAAATTATTTGCTGTTTTTTTTTTATATTTCTTTGTTCAAATTATTAGCCATCCTGTTGGAAGTTGCACGGTGCAGGTCATGTTTTTATGCTGGGTTTTAGTTTTATGATATACGATCTAGATAATCAAAGGGAGAGGTTTGTGTGTTAACTGGTTTAAACCCACCCAATGTGTGCCTGTACTTTGTCGGGTTATCTGAAACCTGTGTTGTTTTATGTGATTTTTTTGTACGTCAAATTTCTAAGATGAAAAATTTATTTCTTGGTCGGTGAAATCTGTAGGACAAAAAGATTCTTTTTTGAAACAGTAATGGTAACAAGCAACCCACCAATGTAATGTCCCAACAATGAATCTAATTCTTCAAGACACAACTGTTTAATTATTTACAAAACAAACTAAATATCCATGAATAGATCCTTCTATTATAAATAAAAGAAGATTGTGCCTGAGGACACGAATGGCCCCGCTAAAGTTTTGCAATTTTCCAAGTTAAAAAGGGGCATTACTATAGAACAGTACATGACTCACTACCCAAATTCCGGCGAACTCTGTCTGCGTGTTGTGGTTCTTAGCAAAGTGTATGAGTTTTATAAAGTTTGGACGAGGAAAACTTAAATAAGAGTGCGAAAATGAAAAAAAAAAATCAAATTTTCCTAGTAAAAAAGGGGCATAACTCTAGAACAGTAAGTGACTGACTGCCCAAATACGAACTCTGTCTGCAATATTGGTTCTTAGCATTTGTATAAGCTTCATAAAATTTGGTTGAGGAAAACTTAAGTTAGAGAGCGGAAACGAAAATGGGAAAGACGGAAAGACGGACGGTCAACGGAAACACTTATGGGCGCATTGCATTTGCGCGCATTTGGGGATTAAATTTGTTTTACGTTTGCACGCAGCTTTTGATTACATTGCGCGCATTCATTTTACAGGTTACAAAGGTTAAATACAGATAATTCATAATAAATATGACTATAGTTGTAATGAATTTGGAACATATTTCTAAATTTGAATTATATATAATTTTTCATATTTAATTATAAAAAAATATTCAGTGATAATGAGAAATCCCTCAACGGCTTAAGACATGCATGTATCTTAATTTATGAATATATCAGAGTAAATAGTATTCTGTTTCATAATTTTACCGAATAGTGATCGCTTTAATTAATAATTAAAGTCAGTTTGAAAAAATACGTCAAGGTGCACACATGGAGTTTCGTTTGTCAACGTATATTTGTTCCGCCTAACAAAAGTTCTACTGGAAACTTTGTTATACACTATGCCATTATATCTGTGCCTGTTACCTTTATTCCGTAAGAAACAAATACTGTAAATATTTCTTCCAGTGGAAATAATACTACAAAATTGTTTTTGCACTTGGAACTTATATTATGAAGGAACTTCTATTTCGTGACAGTAAATGCATGTAATTACATGTAATGATTATCCTTCTTTGCACGTTAAAATTCACCAGCATGCATGCGAGATAGTTATTGTATAGTGTTATTGAATATCCAGCATTTATATCATGATTTATCCTGACATAAGGTAACATTCCTGAAAGACCCCCTTCTAAATTATTAAAATCCATCATTTTGCATTAACCATAACGCCCTCAGGGGTATCCATATCTACTGCATGTAAAACAATGCGAATGGTGGTCTGGTTAGTAGATTATAATACTGGTCTTTTGTATATATACTTTTTAGGTCCTTTTGGTCATATGGCTCCTCCAATTTTTAAATTATTATACATCCGGGGCTTTCAAATGTTTGTGTTTGTGTGTTCCTGATGAAGGTAAATCCAGAGCTACGGACGCACAAACTTTATAAAGTCAGTTTGAGTTATTTTCATTTTGTACTGAACTATATTTTTGGTTTCTTTTATCTTTGTTATGTATTACTAGTAATAATTATCGAATGTTCGCTGCAATTTTGTATGTCAGGCGCGTAGCTGCCTTTACGCAAAAAATCATTTGCTTGCACATTTTTTTCACAAAAAAAAAAATTCTGAAATTGAATTACGGATAGTTTTTAGTCTTTACAGATAATCGTGTCGGCGGTGTTTAAAGCCCAAATCTCTGATGTCGTCTCTAGCAGTGACCAATAAGGAACTATATATCCTTCAATATTCGCAATCTTCTCAATTCTAGTTACAATGCCAGTAACTATATCAACTACTGAACGGTCATTTAGTGCATTACGGCGACCGAAAACTTCTCCGTTCAACCATGGTACAGGACAGACTATCTTCGTTGGCGCTCATACATGTTCACAAAGAAATGGATATCAACACCGAGAGAGTTCTGCGATCATTTGCCTTGGCAAAAATAGATATATTGACTTTCGATATTAATATACTTTAAGTCTTACATGCAGTATTAACATTTAATAATACAGGCTCAAACAATCACCTTGAAAACATCTCAGATTTATTTCCCTTACTTATAAGTCAAGACTTAAAGGTGGCCGTTAGATTTCGTATTCCTATTGTCCGTTCGTCCAAAAGACTATTAATTCACCTGGGGTATCTGTGTCCCAAATGACTTTCTACCGTTATCGTAGAAACCTCTCATTTGATTTGAGAATGACTTTCGTGAGAAACACTACGGGTGTCTTGCAAGAAGCAGTAACTGCTTACCCTTCCGGAGCACCGGAGGTCGCTTCATTGTTGTTTTGGGTCCGTGTTTTTCATCTGTATTTAGTTTTCAATGTTGAATGTTTTTGTTTCTCCTTTTGTGTCTTATCTGTTCCCGGGTTTGTCAATTGTCCATTGATTAACGCTTCGGTTGTCGACTCTTCCTGGTCTTCCCGTTTTATAAAATTTATTTTATATTTGAAAATAACCATGTTACTAATATAAGCAGCAAATTACGGAACTCACTAGACTTTTACTATCGTTTCATGAAAATATGGTATAGTAAGAAACAGATAGGGTATTTCTCATGTTCAAAGCAGTCACTGTAATTACTCATATGCCCGGAGCTTCATGGGGATTCGCTTCCCTGGACCACCGTATACGATGCTGCCCTGGATCCCCGACGAGAGTGCTACCCTGGACCAGTTGGGGACTTTGAGCGGTCCATAGCCTCCTCCCTTACCGAATCACTATAAAGTCCACAAGTATTCACAAAATAGGAGTTTGGGCGTGAAGGAGTGATATGAATTTCAAAAGCATGGCATACCGGGAAAATGCCCCGAAAAAAGTAATCATTTTCTGCATAAAATGGTCCCAAAAAAATCGATAGTTATGATTGCACTTTATTTAAGTCCAGCTACGCCCCTGTATGTGATCTCACATGTACTCTTAATAACATACAAGCCCTTACAACACAAGGGGCGAAACTTAGATGATGTCACTACAATACGCTTTAGAACCATTTTTGACAAGCTATTGATTCTTCCCCTTTAAAAACAGAGTGGACAAGGATAAATACATAGAAACGTTTGGAGCTATATGACC